AGTCAGCAAGGAAACAAGTCATTTGGAGGGTATGGTCAGTCTGGGGTACAGCCAATAAGTAGCCTGAGCCTGGGTCATCTGGTGGCTTGGGTCAATCTAGAGCAGAGCCAATGAATGGTCAGTCTGGGACCAGATCATTTAGGGGTTTGGGTCAATCTGGGGAAGGTTCAGTGAATTCTCAGACCAGCAACAGGTCACCTAGTAGTTATGGTAAAACTGAGGCTGGGCCACCTGTTGGCTATGATCAGTTTGGGACAGGGTCATCTGGAAGGTATGGTCAGTCTCAGGAAGGATCAATAATGTTCAGTCTGGGTCTAGATCATCTGATGTTATGGGTCAATTTGGAGCAGAGTCAATGAACAGTCAGCCTGGAGCTGAGCCATCTGGTAGCCATGGTCAGCTCGGGACAGGGTCATTGGGAGGGTATGGTCAGTCTGGGTCTGGATCATCTGGTGATTTGGGTCAATATGGAGCAGGGTCAATGAATGATCCAACTGGAGATAGGTCATCTCCTGGTAATGGTCAAACTGGGGCAGGGTCACTAAATGGTCACTCTGGGGTGGGGTTGTCCGGTAGTCTTGGTCAATCTGGGGCAGGGTCAATGAGTGGTCAGACTGGGGACAGGTCACCTAGTGATTATGGATATCTTGGGACAGAGTCATCTATAAGCTATGGTCAATCTGAGGCAAGGTTAATAAATGTTCAGCCCGGGGCTGGGACAACTGGTAGTATGGCTCAATCTAGGGTAGGGTCAATGAATGGTCAGCCTGGGCTGGGAGCATCTGCTGTTGACAGTCAGTTTGCAGTATGATCATCTGGAGGATATGGCCAATCTATGTATGGGTAACCTAGTCATTTTAGTCAGTCTGAGACTATATCAATGAATGATCAGCCTGGAGTCAGGTCATCTGGTGTTTTGGGTCAGTTTAGGGTTGAATCAATGAATGGTCAGCTTGAGGGGGGACTGTCTGATGGTTCTGTTCAATCTGGGGCAAGGTCATCAGGAGGAAATGTTTAGCTTGGAGAAGTAACATCTGATCATGATAGGCATTCTAGGGCTGTATCATCTATAAATTCTGGTCAGTTTAGGGCTGGGATATCTGTTGGCCATGGTCAGTCTGGCGTTAAGTCACATGACAGTCATGGGCAGTCTGAAGCTGGGTCATCTGGAGATTATGGTCAATTTGCGGCTGGAATATCTTTTAGCTATGGCCACTCAGGAGCTAGGCCACCTAATGATTATGACAAGTCTGGGGTTGGGTTCTACTTAGGTCATGGCCAGCCTGGGCACGTCCTCCCTGCCCCCTCTTGCCCAGCTGGGGAAACACCATCTGGAGATCCTGGCCACATGGGAGCCCCAGTGGATGGCAGGGCTCCCCAACACAGTATTCCAGTCAATGGCAATGCACTCCCTCCCCCGGTTCATGATGGTCAAGGAGGAGGTACAGGAGCAGGAGCTGGAAACCCACTTGGTCAGCGATTGCCAACACCTGCCCTCAACAAAGACCTCCTGGCTCAGGAAGGGCTGCTGGGAGCCATCATTCTCAACAACCAGAATCTGGTTAGGGAGAGAGAGATGCTACTTAAGATCCTCCTGGGAAGCAGGACCTTATCTACTGGAAAAGATCATCTCCTGGAGGCAGCTGGGTCTCTGGCTCTGGAAGGACTGCTCTGCAAGGTTTATCTGGGGAGCCTCTGTGGCCACAGGAGTCTTGTTGGCATCAATGATGTTCTGAAGAGCACCCCTTTTGGGAAACTCAACTGTTGGTGAGTTTGAGAACTTCTTCAATAAAATAGTTTCCCAATACACTGGTCAGCAAGGGTTCTAGGTGCTCACGATGTGTAAGTGTTGGAGTCTGACTCACCTGATTAGAAGGTAGGCAGTGAGAGGGCAGCCTCAGACACTGCCTCCTCCTGCAAACTCCCAACCCACTGTCCAGCATCCCCTTATTACGGCTTCACCCCTGGATTTATGAAGGTTTGTCTAAGCCTCCACCAAATTACAAATAGCACTGGAAAGGAGTACAGCAGAAGCTCTTCCCAGCTAGCACCTTAGTCATCATTTAATACCCTACTGGTTAAGACAGCATCTTTGTTATATGCTAACACCATAGTTTCCAACTGATGCGTTGAATTTAACATCTTAATTTTCCTTTAATGTCTTAATTAACTACAAAAGTCTTAGTTATCAGCTAACACTTTCTTGTCTAGGATTTGGAAATGGGATTTAGAATGGAAATCTAGGTCAAGAATAGGAAGGCCCAGGATAGAGGAAAGGCCATGTTGAAGTTTGAGTGGTAAGTCAAGAAGGCTGGAAAGTTCTGCTTTTCCACTTCACCTTGCTCTTCCCATCCTTCAGGCTCAAAATCATCAACTTTGATGTCATCCAGCTGGCATGGAAGAAGGTCTATCCTTTATCCAACCTCCAATTAGAATTTCAGACCAGGTTGACCATCAAACTCCCAGAGTGAGTAATTTATTCATGGCCAGAGAACCCAGGTGGAAGAGAATTCTTGGAGATAACAGGCAGTTTTTTTAAATGTTTAATTTATGTGGAAACATAGCAGGCATATATATTTATGGGTTACATGAGATACTTTGATATGGGCGTGCAATGTGTAATAATCATGTCATGGTAAATGAGGTATCTGTCACCTCACCCATTTATCCTTGATGTTATGAACAATCCAATTATATTCTTTTAGTTATTTTTTAAGTACAATTAAATTATTATTGACTAAAATCACTCTGTTGTGCTATCAAATACTAGGTCATATTCATTCTTTCTAATGATTTTTGTGCCCATTAACCATCCCCTCCCCACCCCCATCACCTCACTACCCTTCCCAGCCTCTGGTAACCATCCTTCTACTACCATGAGTTCAACTGGTTTACTTTTTAGCTGCACGAATAAGGCAGAACACGCAAAGTATGTCTTTCTGTGCCTGGCTTAGTACACTTAACATAAGGATCTCCAGTTCCACCCAGGTTGTTGCAAATGACAGGATCTCATGATTTTTATGGCTGACTAGTACTCCATGGTGTAAATGTACCACATTTTCTTTATCCATTCATCTGTTGATGGACACTTAGGTGGCTTCCAAATCTTGGCTATTGTGAATAGTGCTGCAACAAACATGGGAGTGCAGATATCCCTTTAATATGCTGATTTCCTTTTTGGGACTGTATATACTCAGGAGTGGGATTGCTGGATCAGAAGGTGGCTCTGTTTTTGGTTTTTTGAGGACGCTCCAAACTGTTCTCCATAGTGGCTGTACTAATTTACATTCCCACCAACAGTGTACAAGGATGCCTCTTCTCCACAACCTCATCAGTATTTGTTATTTCCTGTCTTTTGGATAAAAGCCATTCTAACTGGGGTAAGATGATATCTCATGGCAGTTTTGATCTGCATTTCTCCAATGATCAATGATATTGAGCACCTTTTCATATGCCTGTGAGACCAGGAGGGACCTAGACTCAGGAAGCTGGGGAGGGAAGGGGCTGGGCTGTGAGATGTGTCTCCTCCTCTTTCCTCCTCAGAGATGCCTTTCCTGGCCACCCAGTGGTGCCACCTCCTTTCCCTTTCCCTCCCCAATATGATTCCCTGTTTATTCCCTTTATAGCCCCCAAGACAATCTCAAATGGCCTCTGTTTATTTATTTACTTTTTATTGTTTACTTAGACCTTAATTACTTAGTCTGTCTCATGGACTAGAATCTAACCTTCATGAAAACAGAAGCCTGGTCTCCCCTGTCAAGTATAGAAATCCCAGTCCCTAAACCACTGCTAGACAGTCAATGAATGCGAAAATGAATGGATGATGAAGCCAAGAATCTAATATTGAACCAGACAACCCAGTAGCTTAGATTCCTGATATTTAAATAAAAGAAAACAAACAAGACATGAAAAAAATATTTTTAAAAATCACTAGGAGGAAAGAAATATCTGAATTATGTAAAAGGGACTTCAGTATTCCTGCATGCCCCAAAGACTGGGATCAAATAACTCTCCTAAACTGCCCGGAAGTGCCCCAGGACTCTATAGGGAGATGTGGCACTGTCCCTGGGAGGGGTGCCCTGGGTACTGTCTTGGCCAAGAGGCATGCCAAGGACCCCTCTTTGTCCTCAGTTTGACTGGAGATAAGGGGTTCCACGAGCTCACACTTTAGGAATTAGTGGACTCTGTTACTAACCACAGTGAGCACATATTGAGCACCTACTGCATGTCAGCCTCAGTGCTAAGCACCTCAGAAATACATGATCTTATTTAATATCCTCACACTCATTTTGGAGTATAATAATAATTATTATCATCCATTTTACAGATGGGAAGATTGAGGTTCAGAAAGACTAAGGACCGGCCAGGCACAGTGGCTCATGCCTGTAATACCAGCACTTTGGGAGGCCGAGGTAGGCAGATCACGAGGTCAGGAGATCAAGACCATCTGGGCCAACATGGTGAAACCCTGTCTCTACTAAAAATACAAAAAAAAATAGTTGGGTGTGACGGCTCATGCCTGTAGTCCCAGCTACTAGGGAGGCTGAGGCAGGAGAATTGCTTGAACCCAGGAGATGGAGATTGTAGTGAGCCGAGATCGCACCACTGCACTGCAGCCTGGGCAACAGTGCGAGACCCTGTCCCAGAAAAAAAAAGAAGAAAGACTAAGGACCTCATCAAGTCGCACAACCAAGCGAGAGAGTTGGGACTTGAACTTCATCCTCACGACTCCAAAACTCCTGTACTTTAATGATCTCTGATGCCAGAGTTGAGAGCAGTGAGGTACGGAGCTGTCCTGGGGGCGGGGAACGTCTCTGTGAATGCTGTGTGGTTGTTTTAATATGAAGAGGCAGGCCACTTCCCCCGCTGTCCCCAGAGGGACCATCCTCCTCCCAGTTGTAGCTACAACTGCCAAGTGCCCGGGCGCAGCCAAAGAAGGAAAAAAAAAACCAAACCACCCAGACCCTGAGGGAGGGTCCTTCATGGAAACTCATCACAAGTGCAGGGAAAGTGGAGCCTTTTATTGAAAGTGAGATACTCAACGTGCTGTCAGCATGGGGTCTGAGAGGTGTCACCCAAGGTGACTCCCCTCCTCCTGTTGGGCTGACCATGGAAGGTACTGTTTGCCAACCAGGCAGAGGCTGGGTCCTTTCTCAGAGTTGAGGCAAGGGAGGGAGAGGGTTGGGGGGCCAGGGAGGGACCTGTCATGGAGGCTGAGGGGACTCTGGGCAGGGGACTGTGTCCAGGCCGAGCCTCTCTGGGACTGGTTCCAACTTCTGGCTGCAGCAGCGTCTCTGCCTCTGTCACTCACGCGCTCAGCACCAGAAGGTCCTTGGATGGCAGAACACAGAAGCCGGTGATAGGTGGGGAGGCTCTGGCTAGAGCCTCGTTACTCACCCGCCTACAGATCTGGCTGGTCACGTTTCTTGGAAGCAGTAACTCTAAATAGCAGCAGTGAAGGGGTTCACATGGCCCCAGGGAGCACCTGGCCGTGTCATTACCTTGCCCTGGACAGAGGACCTTGGGCAAGACACTTCCAGTCCCCTTATTCCCCCAAATAAGAGAAGTAGGCCTGAGTCCCTCTTCACAGTCTTCCAAAATTGAGTTTTCACAAATTTAAAAAAAAAAAATTCTTTGGTCAGGCACGCACCTGTAATCCCAGTGTTTTGGGAGGCAGAGGCAGGCGGGTCACCCGAGGTCAGGAGTTTGAGACCAGCCTGGCCAACATGCTGAAACCCTGTCTCTACTAAAAATACAAAATTAGCCCGGTGTGGTGGTGCATGCCTGTAGTCCCAGCTACTTGGGAGCCTGAGGCATGAGAATTGCTTGAACCTGGGAGGCGGAGGTTGCAGTGAGCCGAGATCGTGCCACTGCACTCCAGCCTGGGCGACAGAAGCCAAATTCCAACTCAAAAAAAAAAAAAAAATTCTTCAACAAAATAAATAATAAAAGTAAGAGACGATAACCCATAGACCAAAAGAAATATTCATGAGTCTCTATCGACAGAAACAAATAATTAAATGAATCAATAAATATACGGAGGAGAAGGGACAGCTCTTCCTCAGTGGAATTCCAGCTGACACGTGCAAAAGGAATGAGAGAACCAGAATATCGCCGTTAGCTGCGTGCCGCGGTCATAACAGTTGCAGGCAAAATCGTGAACACTGAATGGCAGAAATTAGTGGGAGAAAGTCTAACGAGAAACAGGATATTTTCATGGTCTCCAGGTACCTCCTCACAAGAGATTGATTAGTCACAAAGAGGAAAATAGTAATTGTACAGTGAAGAAACGCCTTCAGCAAGCAAAGTGGACACCTCCAGGAATAAGTCACATGATCATTGGCACCCCCTGAAGAGATGCATTGAGGACAGCGTCACTTCTGTGGTGTTTTGCCAAAAACACAAAACTTCAATCCAATCATGAAAACAAGTGTCCGTCAAATCCAGGGTGCATCACACAAAACGGGCCAGACTCATGGAAAATGTCACGGTCATGAAACACGAGGAGAAGGTGAGGAACTGTCCCACAGTGCAAGACTGTAAAGAGACGTGACAGCAGAATGCAAGAGGGGGTCCTTGACCAAAGGCAACAGAGGGGAAACGAGAGAACATCTGCAGAGCGCTCATGGTTTTGTACCGATGTTCATTTCCAGGTTTTGATCATCGTTTTCAGTTATGTAAGATGCTAACATTAGGGGAAGCTGGGAGAAGGATATTCTGGAACTGTCTGTACTATGTTTGCAACCTTTCTGTGCATCTAAAATTATTTCAAAATAAAAAGTCAGAATAAATGGCTAAACCTCTATAATAATAATAATGAGAGCAACTACCGTTTACAGGGGGCCTACAGGGCCGAGCCTGGGACTGAGGTTTTCTTTAAACCTTTCAAACCCGATACCCATTACACATTTTATTACAGGTATTTGTGTTATCTCCCTTATCATTCTGGAATAAGGTTCACAGATTGCATAACCTGTGTATACATATATCTTAAAAACCAGTATAATTCCTTTACCAGAATATAAAGGAGGAAAATAAGACACATCATTTATAATAAAATGATATGTGTTTTGATATGAAAATATGCAAGCGTTCAGGAAAGAAAAATTCATTGCCACCCATTTCAAAAAGGCCCGGGGGGCAGGGAGGGTGCAGCACGACCCCACTCAGAGCCTCTGACTTGAGCTGCTTCACAGCCTTTCGGTGGAAACTCTAACTTCTCACCAGCTGGGTGACCCTGAGCAAGTGGCCTACTGTGTCTGATACTCAAGTCCTTTCATCTCTTATGTGAGGGCGAACATCAACCAGGGCTGTGGTAAGGCCAAATCCGTGAACACCTGTGCATGGGGCACTGAATCTCAGTAAACAGCAGAGATGATGATGATGAAGATGAACCTGTGGCAATCCTATTCATGTTTCCTAACCCCTTTGTTTAAGTGAATCATAACATTTTATAATAAAATGCCATATCTCGTTTAATTTCTCACCAGAAACTGTATGAGGTGGGCATTATTGTTCCCCATTTTCAGATGAGGAAACTGAGGCTCAAAGCAGTGCTGAGGCCCTGCAGGATCTCAAGAGACAGGACCAGGAGTGGGGACTGTCCCAGAACCTGCATCTGAGCCCTGCCCACACTGCCCATCGAGGTCATTGTCCACCTCCCTTGACTGCGCCCCTAATGTGGGAAGGGTGCTATTCCCTGGGCAGGTCCAAGCCTGGCATGAATGTGAGGGGCAAATGTGAGGGGCAATTTCCTTTGGCAAGGAAACTGTCAATCTGGCACAAAGGCCCCATTCATTCCATTTCTGGGAGTTTGTTCCAAGGAACTCAATCTAGAATCAAGAAACAGTTTGTGCGTAGAGATGTTCCCTGCAGCATCCTTTATGATAATGATGGTATTTATAATGGTGGACACTTCCAGAAATGCTTATTACATGCCAGGCCTGTGCAAGGCACGTTACACACAGAATCCCATTTTTTCCTAAAAGCAGCCCTACAGGTAGGTACTATGATTAGTCTTTTTTTATAGAGGAAAAAAATGGAGGCTCAGAGAGGTTAAGTAACTAGCCCAGGGTCACCCAGCTGGAAACTGGCAGAGTTAGGATTTGAACCTGGGTCACGGGGCTTCAAGCCTCGTTTTTTAACCCCAATGCTCTGCTGATTTCCTGAGCAAAGCCATGTTTAAAAATAAAACTCCAGAAAGACTGGAATGAAAAGCAGCAAAATATTTTCAGGGGTAACTGCTGGATTGTGTGTGTGTGTGTATGCATACATGTTTGTTTAATCTTTTCCATATTTTCCAAATTTCAGATAATGAGCATGGGTGGTTTTTATAGTGGAAACAAGAGCCCCTGCGTTTGAAAGTCAAAGCACCTGCCGCGATTATAATTAGCCAATTACTTCAGGAATATTCGCCTAAAGGCCGTCTCCCCATTGGGCTGAGAGAGCTTTGCAGGGACTGGGGATCATTGCTCACTGCTGGATCCCCAGGCCCCTGCACAGTGCCTGGCACATAGTAGGTGCTCAATAAATGTTTCTCCTATGAACTACATCACATTCTATTTTGGGTAAGCCCCTCACTGCCTTGAGCTCCCGTTCTCCCATCAGTAAGATGGCAGCAATGACACCTGTGGCGAGGGCTACATAAGACTGTGAATGTGTGAGCGTCCTTCAAGGATCCTTGACAGCTCTGTCCCTTGTTCCCTCAGCCCCATACTTGGAAGGAAGAGAACCCTGTTTCCTTCCTTTCCCTCCTCTTCTGTTCCTCTTCCCAGTTCCTGGCCTGAATGCAGTGGTCAAAGGTGACGAGCAAAGGGCGGGGAAAGAAAGCAGAATGGAGCTTGAGCCCCTCTTACCTCCAACACGTCAATGTCTGCATTGCTGAAGTCGATGTTGAGGATTTTGGGGAGAGGGACCCCGGAACCCAGCACAGCTGTAAAACAAAGAACAGTCAGACATGATCAGTGGGCCAAGAGGTGTTGGTCTCACCAGAAGCCAGCAGTATTTGCAAGAAGATTGGCAATTTCTTTTTTCTTTGTTTGAGACAGAATCTTGCTCTGTTGCCTGGGCTAGAGTGTAGTGGCACAATCTCAGCTCACTGCAACCTCCACCTCCCAGGTTCAAGTGATTCTCCTGCCCCAGCCTTCCGAGTAGCTGGGATTATAGGTATGCGCCACTACGCCTAATTTTTGTTTTTTTTTTTTTAGTAGAGACAGGATTTTACTATGTTGGCTAGGCTGACCTTGAACTCCTGACCTCAGGCGATCTGCTCCTACCTTGGCCTCTCAAGGTGCTGAGATTCCAGGCATGTGCCACAGTGCTCACGCCCAGTAATTTCTTTTTCTTTT